CCTTCTCATTCTTCCCAAACGTCATCCCGTTTTTAGCTACCGTCAGAACATTGCTGAATCCTGGAATAGGTTTCACTAAGATTCTCAGGTCTGAAGGAATTAAGATTAAACCCGGCATGATTGCAAAATTTAGGACGACATGTGTATTGGCAATAGCCGTCCTCATATATGTTGGAAATGGTAATTGTCACATCGTCCTGTACAATTGTATCCTTTGATACCTTACGGAAAACCTCCTGTGTCTGCAGACTTTTTGCACCCTGACCTACGATACTCCATCGGGTTTTAGCCTGTGCCCCCAGGACGGAATACACAAATGTTTCGATAGACTGCTGGAATAATTTCTGTCCAACTTTGGTAAGTCCCCGGGATGTTTTGGGAATAAGGGTTTTATAATCATTTTCAACGTCAAAGGGTGATCTACCAGTCAGGTATTCGTATTCGATAAATGAACCTCCATATTTAGTCAGACGGTACTTCTGACGTCGTATTCTTTTCCGTTCGCTTACGGGTAAACCGTAGTACCATGTCCCAATGTTTGCGTGGGAAGAGACGGTTCTCCTAACCCATGTCTCACGTACAGGCATGTACTTCCTAATGGTTCGTATATCATCACTTGTAAGGTACTGGTCTAATAGATTTGGGTTACGCATGAACCTCGATAGGTGAAAGTGAAGGTGGAAGCGGACAATGGAGGTTACTATGTTGGAGTGTGAATTGGGAAAGTTGTCCGTAAGGTGATCCTCGGAAATTCCGGATTTAAACATAGCAACATAGCATGCCGCCAGGGAACAGAAGTAGGAATTGGAATGGTAATCGAAGGGTATGGTGTTGATAAAGGCTTCGGGGGGTTTATCGTACGATGGTTTAATAGGTTCCAGTTTCGTCAGGAAATTTTCGGTTTCCGTAACATAGACCTTAAAGGTATGCACATCCATCTTGAAATCCTTATTCGGACGAAAGATTGCATCCGGTCGAACACTACGCCACCCTTCTACCCAGTACAGGTACTTGGTCCACTCCGGATTTGTGCGGAATGTGTCAGATGTGAGATCATAGCTTGTGAGATCATCCACTTTGTAGAAAATGTCTCTAGACTCTACAGTTCCATCCTTGGCAAAGGTAACATTAAAGTCGAACTTGGATAGGGTCGCATTGGGATATTTTTTCATGAAGTCTGTCTTCATTTTCTGGATTTCGACGGGTACTGCCGCCTTAACCTTCTCATAATTCTTTCCGTAGTAGTTCCGAAAGATTTCCTCACTCATCCTTTTATTTGATGTAAAGTTCTAACAAGACATCTCCAGGGATGATTCCGGTATTAGATCCAATCTCAAACCGGATTTCGCTGTATTTGCCAGCATCCACCCGTACTTGGCTTTCGATGTCGTTGTATTTGGTTGTGGTTCCAAAGAGAGGTCTTGTTCCATCGATGGGAAGGGAAGTGATGACGGTACTCCTATTTCCGTACGGTCCTATGTTATGCTCGCGATTCACAAGGTTACAGCTGACTGTAAGGTATCGCAAACCTTCATGGATGTCTACGGGACGATCGCTAATGTGTGGGGTATATGTAGGACCATTGGAGGATCGGTATCCCAGAATACTCGTGAGATTTTGGAGTCCTGCGGAATTTGTTCCCTTAGCAAAGTCGATCCTTATCCTTCCATCGGGATATTCCCTAAGTGTCAACCCGTTTTCCTCCAGCTCTTTCCTAAGCTGTTTAAAGGTCCAGTACCCTTCATCTATCATTACCTTCTTCCCATCTACGGAAATGTAGTCATTGAACCCCTTGCGAATATTCTTATAATTCCAAAACACGGCAGCAGTCTTTACGTAAAGTTCGGATCCATGGGTAAGGATCAGTGGATCCTGTATATCTAGGGTAACCCCTCCGTCTTCAACATAGACCGTTATCTTCTTCATGTTTTATTTACAGATAAATAAAATGAGTTTGGAACTGGATGTAGCTCTCCGAGAAATATATTTTAACGTTAACGGTGGGTACATGTCGATGGAAAAATTATACCAGAGTGCAAGGTGGGTAAGGGAAGTCTAACCTTTGGTGCAGTTGCAAGGGTCGAATTTAACAGTTCCAGCGTAAAGAACTACAAATACATGAAGAAGGGTGAATGCTGTCCGGAACCCAAGCCAGAACCTAAACCCAAACCCAAACCTGTCAAAAACAAAGGTAAGAAATAAAATGGGATGCCTGTCCTCAAAACCCGAAACCGCAAACAGAATAAAGTACAACAAAGATCATAAAAGAAGGAAGATGTTCAACCTTGGCATTGGCATCGAACGGGGTGACATAACGATGAGCGCACATACCCAAATCGGTTATGCCAGCACAACCGTAAAGAAATACGATAAACAAAATGATGAGAATACCACGGAAACTAGTGTGGTTGTGTCTGATCAGCTGACTAGTAATTCCGATAACGGTTGAGGTACTCATTATCGTTACCCTAAGACTAATACTTCAATTTTAATGACTTAATAAACATTAAAATTTATTCAACATAATCCCAACCTAATGTCTCAAATATTTTCTTACACCGATCGTGAGGGACCTTCCCCTTAGGAATCTTAAGTAAAGACCAGTCAGCCTCCACACCAAATCGTTTACATACCTGATAACTAATAATATTAAGATTAGGTAGTCTCTTTCCCCTAGGTTCCTCTTTGTTACAAATATTAACAATTTTATTTATAACCTCAGGAGATACTTTCCCAAACAGTTCGTATTCCGACACACCCTTCCTTTTTATAAAACCATAGACTTTCTCACGGATAGTAGCTGGCTTATGCTCCATAATTGCCCTATCCCAACAATCGAAATCGGAAACGTAACCGGTCCTACCAACCTCTAACCCACACTTACAACGCGTTCTTTTCCCGCCTATATCAATAAGATTATGCTTATGTCCCTCGGAACAAAAGTGTTTGTTGGGATATTCCACAGGTTCCTTCGAAGCAAGGAGATCCAAGTACTCTTTTCCCGCTATTCTAAAGTTCTTCATTATTTTTCCCTTTCTCTTCCTCTCTCTCTCCATTCTCGATTCCCATCCTATAGCTGGATCCTGAAGATATTTCATAAAATCTTTTTTAGTTTTACAAATGCCGTTCAAGCCGGACAATAACTTAGTATCTATAATCTTCTTATCAAAATCCCAATTAATGGAATCTAAGTACGCTACCTGAATAAAACACAAATCCTTGTATTCCTCCCGAATCACAATATCCCAAAATAATTCCCTGTTCCGATTAAATTTTCCGATAGATATCTCGACGGGGGTGTACAAACCTTCCTGAATCTCCTCGTAAGGTACTTCGCTAAAATCCATACCCTTTTACTTATACAATCCCTTCCATTTAAACCATTTACCTTCCCCCTGGCTTTTCTCAATCTGCCCTCGTACGGACTCGACAACAAATATAATACACAGAATAGTCAGTATGACCCCCACGATGCTGCCGCTGTGATATAGATAATGGTAAAAGTCACTAATCTTCACCGAAAACCCCAACAAGCGTGCGGGTTGCGGCGGATGCGGTGGGTCCGCGAACGACCGAATTCATCGGGTCAACACCCGCGGGAATCCGTGGCAAAATTGTCGGAGCATGCGTATGCGTGCGGGGTTGCTTGCGTGTTCGTGACCACGGATGCATGAGGACGGGGGAGGGGTCCGGCAGGCATGGGCGGCGCAGGGAACTGGAAAACCAGAAGTGGTGGAGTCGATTCTATTCCGGGAAGTCGAAATTCCGGGAAGGCGAACCTAGGCGTGCCCGAGCTTGCCCGGATCCACTATAATTTACCTTACATGAAGTATTAACCAAAATGAGCCAGAACCGGCCTATTTACACTACCAATATTTTCCTTATACCATGAGTATATATTATTAAAAATAAATGTCTAATATTTTCCTCACACCATTATTGTGCAATTTTGGTGATTTGAACTATCAAATGAAACATATTTATACCTGTACACGATTCCGGTCGTTCCAATGTTAAGGTGAATGAGAACTGCAGGGGTGGGTGCCAAATTCTTAGTTTGCTCATGCCTTGCCTAACTTAGAAACTATGTATATATTGTTTATCATGTTTATCTGATATCAAAGTCAAAGGCTATTTGCCAGACATTGACTGACACAAGTTTTCCTTGTTCGTTCAATGTATAGTTAAGTTGTGTAGATGTCTGCCTACTGTGCTAGATTACATATTGAATCACATTTGAAGACAGATTTCCAAAATTGAATACATTTAACTGTCTCTTAAAATTTGATGTGCTCTACTCTACAATGGGTCATTCCAGAAAACATCCATACCACACCCACGGAGGAAATTGCAAGTTAACCCCCTACCCCCTTCGGATGTCCTAATACATCTACTATTATCAGAAACAATTTTATCTCCCCTCCCCCTCCGGACGGCAGAAATTTCCTCCGTGGGGGGACTGTGGATCTTTTCTGGAACGACCCAATTATGTAGTTGAAGGGTCTTGTAGTCTAATGGTGTAAATTACTGAGTAGAAATTTTAAACATTTATTAGACTTAACCAGGATCAATTGCAAAAAATGCATCTGATACAGGTCCCTGGCAGCAATCGAACCTACTGCAAACTCCGGTAATGGCGGTACAACACTCTAACCAACTTAGCTACAGACACCAGTTGTCAAGCTCTAACCACAAGTTCATGCATACATACCTACTGCAAATTCTTGTAATGGCGGTACAACGATCTAGTAACCAACTGAGCTACAGACACCAGTTGTCAAGCTCTAACTCCACAAGTTCATGTATATATATACTATAGGGTTCTGCCATGTGTTGGTTATGGGTAAATATCAAAATTTTGTTGGCATCTCACTTGATTGATAAATTTATACTGTAATGAAGAGTCTTGTAATTATGAATATAAATGTACCCAAATTCCCACTCAATGAATTCCATCTACAAGACCCTTTAACCACTATTTTACTTTTTGTAAGTGGTACATGAATATTCAAATGGCCATAATTCCACTAAAATAATTTCTTTTTTGCAGAGCAATGTCTACTCACAAGCTAAACCTTCCCTTTTCTGTTCCCGAGGAAATGATCAGCAAGGAAAAAGACAGTGGTATTACGTATGACTTACATTAAGACAAGAGCCAGTAAAGGTGTATAAGAACTCTTAGATGTATGAAGGCAGACAAGTCACAACATGTGATCAAAACGCATGTGGTACTCTTGGGTAGTGGCTTGTCTGTTGAAGGGCATAATATGTATTATACTGATAAAATCTGCGGTAAATGTGGTGTTGGTTTTACAGAGAGTCAGAGATTAAGATAATAAATAACCTGAACTCAGTAACTACAGTAACAAACAAAATGTCTGATAAACTGCTACCTTAATTAATAAATGGCAGCATTTTTCAGACAAACACATTTTTTTCTGACATAAATAATAAATGAAGTCATATTGAATTAAACAATGTATATTGGGAAAACATAAACTGACTCCAATATTTCATCTATGGGCGCTTTCCATTCAATAGCCTGACCGGTCAGACCTGAATACTTTTCTCAGTATCAAAGGAAAGATCTGGTCTATGTTTCTCAAATGTCTAGCGAAAATGGACTTTGACAAAATTTTCCGGTTAGATAGGTCCGAAACCCAAATGTTTTGTGTTTCATTCAACAATTTGACCGTTCTGACCGGTTTGGCCATCTTAATGGAAAGCGCCATATAAATCTTTTTTATTCAAACTTGTTTGGCATTGTTCAGCAAACAACGAAGAGAAATAAGATTGCAGTGCCAATTTTTCAAATTGTCCCTCCAAATGCAGTGACAAAATTTCAACTTGGCGCTGCAAATGCAGTACCAAATTTTCAATTTGTCGCTGCAAATGCAGTGCCGAAATTTCAACTTGGCACTGCAAATGCAGTGCCAAATTTTCAATTTGTCGCTGCAAATACAGTGCCAAATTTTCAACTTGGCGCTGCAAATGCAGTGCCAAATTTTCAACTTGGCGCTGAAAATGCAGTGCCAAATGCAGTGCCAACTTGCAGTGAGAAATATAAATGCTTCGTAGTTGCGATATCGGGCAAAATATCTCCGTTTTGTCATCGTTTTTATTCGGGTTGCAAAATATAGTATTATATTAAAGATTTGTGAGCAAGATAATTTCCCATTCCTGCTAAATATTACCCTGCGAGCAGAGCCTTATTTTCGTTTCTTCGGCGAGGGAGAAAGGAGAAAATAAGGCTCTGCAGTATTCGTGTTTTGCTTCCATTGCGCATGCTCTGTCGGTTGCCTAGTTACAGCTATATGAAATTTTATACCTGTCTTCGCAGACGTCCGCCTTTATTACTAGCGAATCAAAATTCAGCATCGTTTGATCCGCTTATCCGTTCAAGACTTCAAGCTCGCGCGAAATTGTAGAATTATATTAAACGTAAGGTATTTTGAAGTGGTTATCAAATTTCAAACAAAACTCTCTTTAGTTTTCGTGTGTAAATGCCAAAACTTGATTCATTTGCAACAAACTCGTATAAGTATTGTTCGATTTCGGCCATTTCGTTTTGTTGGCTATGTCGCTGGCTCGCACTGATTTAGTCATCGGTTCACCGTCAAACTGTAGCCGCGCGCATTAAATACCGGATAAACTGGTTAAACCGGTCTGCTTCTTCGTCCAGAATCTTGGACGAAGCAAAACACGAATACTGCAGAGCCTTATTTTCTCCTTTCCCTTTCGCCGAAGAAACGAAAATAAGGCTCTGCTCGCCGGGTAGCTAAATATGCGTGATTTTACAATAAACGGCATTGCTATTCTCGTTTGCTTCAAGATCATTCAATTTCATTAAAATTTCCTAATTTCTTGCAATGCTGCAGTTCTTGATTTTGTTGGGTTTTGTTGCAAATATTAATAAAATGTAGGGAATCCTGCATGAATGAATAGACAGATTGCAAGAATCTCATTATATTCCAATTATTAGCAGCATATTGGTCAAATTTCGTACAAAAACAGCAGATTTGCTTAGGTTTTGTCCGGAATTCAGTTAAATAGAATATTTCACTTTGCTCTAGAACGTGTTTACGTTTATGATGCACTACAGCCTGTTGAATTTCCATAGCGTTTTTTTGAGACACCTGGACATCCTTTACAGGATTAAAAACACAATATATGCAATTAATGATCTCACCAAGATGCTTAACAATGCTGGGATTAGCCGCAGCCATAATTAAGCGGATTACGCATGCAGCACTACAGTACCTACTAACTAGTATTTTTCATCCATCGGTTGTAAACTGTCGAAAAATGTCCAAAATATTAATGTTGACCCTATGACATTTGTCACTCCTACGGAGAGTTCGTTTCACTTTTCATGTATTTCAGTTCAGGAGACTTTTGACGCTTTAAACCAACTTAATTCAAGGAAATCACCAGGACTGGACGGCATAAGTGTAAAACTATTAAAAGATACAAGCGATGTTATCGCGCAACCATTAGCCAACATCTTTAATCTATCTCTTCAGACTGCAATTTTTCCGGACGAGTGGAAAATCGCCAAGGTATCACCAGTCTTTAAAGAAGGGAATAAAACTGATTGCGGAAATTGTAGACCAATCTCTGTAATTTCTGTGGTTGCTAAGCTGTTTGAAGGGCTAGTGTACAATCAATTGAGAACGTTTATTGCCGACAATAGCATTCTTGTAGAGCAACAGTCCGGTTTTCATTCACAACACTCTACTGAGACGGCACTCTTAGGTTCGACAAATGAGTGGTTATATAACATGGACAGTGGCTTAATCAATGGAGTCCTGTTCTTGAACTTGAAAAAAGCTTTTGACACTGTCGACCATGAAATCTTATTAATTAAAGAAACTTCACCTATACGGCAGAAAAGGAACTACTTACGCATGGTTTGAATCTTACATCCAAAATAGAAAATCGATTTGTTTAATGAATGGGAAAAAATTACATTCTAGAGAAATTAGGTGTGGGGTACCACAGGGTTCTAACCTTGGCCCCATCCTATTCCTCTTGTATATTAACGATCTACCTAAGTGTCTAGAAACAACCAAGGCCAACTTGTTTGCTGATGACACAAATCTTTCGTGTGCCGGCTTAGATGCCAACGAAATCGAGACTAAACTTAAAAGAAATCTTTAGAATGTTCATAGTTGGCTTAGATGTAACAAACTCACGCTAAACGATAGCAAAACGGAATTTATGATAATTGGCTCTAGACATCATCTTATTAAATTTGAAGACAACCCAGAGATTTCATTAGCCATACGAGATAATAATATTAAACGGGTCACCAACAAAAAATCTCTTGGTTTTATCATCGACGATCAATTAAAGGGGGGGTATACACATTGACGCACAATGTAAAAAAATCTCAAAAAATATTGCATTACTAAGAAGAGCCAAGTCCTTTGTTCCTTTATACATTCTAATCAAAATGTATAATGCTCTAGTATCTCCTCACCTGACATATTGCTCAACAATATGGAATGATGCGTCTAATACCATTCTTAACAAACTCTCTAAGTTACAAAGAAGAGCAGCTCGGGTTATCACAGGACAATCATACGATGTTCGTTCCACTCAAATACTAGAAAGTCTCAATTGGATGCCAATTGAAGACATTTTAAAGAAAAGAGAAATCATTATGACGTTTAAAGCTTTAACAGAATTTCTTCACGAGATGCGAAAGTAGTAATTATTCTCTAACGAGTTTAACTATTCTGCGGGTTGCGGGCTGCGGGCCGAAAAATGCGGGCTGCGGGCCGAAACTGCGGGCTGCGGGCCAAAAATTGCGGGCTGCGGGCCAAAAATTGCGGGCTGCGGGCCAAAAATTGCGGGCTGCGGGCCAAAAATTGCGGGCTGCGGGCCAAAAATTGCGGGCTGCGGGCAGAAAAATGCGGGTTGCGGGCAGAAAAATGCTAACACGATTGCAAGCCGCGGGTCTAGTTGCGGGCCTGACGAATTTTTAAAAAAATATTGTCAAAATGTAAAGAAAATAACAATATTATTCAAAATTTTCTGTCTTTGAAGTATATTCTATGTCTAATGTTATTCGTAATCATAT